CAGCAAGAATCAAATTAGGTGCATAAAATCCAGCATAGAGGGCTGCAAATGGTTGGCGTGACATAAAGCAACTGAAGTTTCTTGATGTGCAAGGAAAAGAGCCTAAAAAAATAAAGAAATTGTGCTATAATGGGTGTAAAAAATAATACAGAGTATGACAACGACAAGAAATCTGCATCTTCTATGGAGATACATTGCAGTGACAGCTGAGTGGAAGAGCATTGCATTTCGAAGAAAATGACAGGCACTACTGCTAGAAATCATGCATCCACTCGATCTTGTAATCTCATCTTTCCATAAACAAGACCAGATAAAAGACTCCAAGCCAATATCTACCACTTTCCATCACGCATACCCAGCTGCATGCCTGAGTGCTATTGTCGTCGAAAGTATGATGACGACTAGAAATCTGCATCTTCTATGGAGATTTCTCCAGATTTATCCAGATGGAATCCACAATCCTATAAGATTCAGGATGATGTAATTGCATATGAAAGCACCGGGAAACCCTACCAAAGAGCTTTCCGTAGATTAACGGGAGTGTGATAGCTTTTATTTTTAAATATATGTTAAAAATATATGAAGTCTAAAATAAAAATAGTAGTAAATCTAAAAAGAGGAACACATGAGACTAGGTTGGGAAGGAGTGCAAAACAGAATTCACTCAAGCAAATGAAAGATTTCATCATATTCACAGACAGAGAGAGCAGATGATCAGATGCCTTGTCACCCAAACAATGAATGTTCCAAAAGATAGCAGAAGACACAGGCGAGCTAAGACACTAATTCAAGGAACGAAAATTAGCGGAACAGTAATCAATTTTCCCCTCGAAGCGAAGACCGGCAAGAACAACAAAGGAGGAGTACGAGTTAACGTTAACAGAGTAATAATCAAAGGGTAGGGTTTACAGACGAAAAGAAACGAAGACACACAGATGGTTTGTTTTGGAAAACTGATATAAAAGATACATAGTAGAGCAAACAAGGACAACGTAAACACACACAGATTGCAGATAGACGGTGTAATTAGCATAAAACTATGGTCTTCGAAAGTTTGGATGATCACAGCAACCTGAAAATGATGTTCTGAACCAGCTTTTTATTATTATTATAAATTCGTTGCAGAATTCATCATCATCAACGTTCACGCCATCCTTCTCAACAAGGCTATCCCAGATTGAGCTTCCGTGGTTGGTTATACATTGAAAATGATATAATATAATAAAATATAAAAATATTTATTTTATTTTAAATATAGTCAAATTAATTATTTTATTTTATTTTATTTCATGCAAAAAATATAATTAAATATTTTTTTGCTTTAATTTATATGAAGTCTTAAAATTAATATTTTTATAATAACTCTAACTATAAAATCAAAGTTAGTTTAATAAATCAATTTAGGATCCTGTTGGCTTAGAATTTGAATAGGTTCGAGTTAAAAAAAAATAAAAAAATAATTGACATGATGTAATTTAATCAAAAATTAAAGTTAACTCAGGATAAAACACGAGTCAAAACCTCGTTGACTTCTATTTAAATCTTATCGCTTTGATTCCTTTTTTATATTTTTTTTGATAAACCCAGGGTAACCCTCTCAATTTGTGATTAGACCTCGTCTTAGATCGATTTTCAAGTTAGATTTTAAGATTATAATAATAATAATTTTTATAAATACATTGACTCGAATCAACCTAAGTCAAGTACTCTTTCAACTTGTGATCTAGACATTGCCCGTAATTGACCACCAAATTGAGTTTTAAAAATATAATAATAATTACTTTTGGTCATTATGTTGACCCAATCAACCTAAGTTGACCCTTTCAACCCATAACTCAGGTCTTCTCCAGTGTCGATCATCGAGTCGAGTTTTAAAACTATAATAATAACTACTTTTATCATTATGCTGATCTTAATCAATGGTCAATTCGACTCATGATTTGAGTATCCCAACTCAAGACTCGAGTCATGCCCTGAATCACCATCGAGTTAGATTTTAAAATTATAATAATAATAATAATAATATTTATTTTTACGTTAACTTGGGTCAACCTAGGTTGACTCTCCCAATTTGAGACCCGGGTCATGCCCTGAATCGACTACTAAGTTAGGTTTTAAAAAATAGAAAATATTGTTTTTTAAGACATTTCTCAAATGTAACTATTATTGTAGAAGTATAAAAATTAACCTTTTATATCTGTCTTTTTAACAAAACATATTTTTATCTTTATTATTTCTATGTTTTCTATTCCAGGATAATAATGAAACGTTATCTAAGATAATATTTGGTTATTGTCCTGAGATAGAAGGGACAGAGACAATAAAAACAAAAATATTTTCAGTTAAAGATAAAAATAAATCGTTTACGAGATAATTTTAAAGTGAATTTCTGTATTTTCAAAACAAGAGATATAGATGTGAAAATCTCCAAAGACAATATTTATTATTTTTATTTCTAAAATATCTTTGTAAAAAGCTATCAATTTCAAAATTGTTAAATTAAGACATGTAAACATAAAAATGGTTATTATAATAATTTTAAAATTAACTTAGGAGTCAATTTAGGGTAAAGTTCGAGTCATTAGTCGAGGCTTGGGTCACAGGTTATGTTGACCTGATTCAATATAAAAATAAAAATAATTATTATCATAATTTATAAATCTAATTTGAGGGTCTATCTAAGGCGAAGCTTGAGTCACAAATGGGGTTGACCGTTGATCTAGATCAGTATAAGGATAAAATAGTTATTATCATAATTTTAAAACTCAACTCGAGGATCGACCTATAGTAAAGCTCAGGTCACGTGTTAGGAAGGTCGACCTTAGTTGACTTGGATAAACATAAAATAAAAATAATTATTATCATAATTTAAAAATTTAATTCAGGGGTCAAATCCAAAGCAAGACTCAAGTCATAGGCCGAGAGAGTCAACACGAGTTGATCCGAGTTATTGTATACATAAAAATTGTTATTATAATAGTTTTAAAACCTGACTCGAAAATTGACCTAAAATAAGGTTCAAGTCACGAGTCGAGAAGGTCATCTTAGCTCACCAAAAAAAAATTTAAAATTTATTTTTTAAAAATATCAACAAGTTTTTACCTCGTATTTTATCTTGAGTTAACCTAAGTTTTTAATCATGTTAGGTTAAGTCAATCATTATTTTATTTTTTTTAAACTCAAATTAATATAAACCTTGGGTTAACCTAACAAGTTAGTTTCAGTTATATAACTATTATTATTATAATATTATTAATTTCAAAACTTAATATAAATTAGAATAGAAAAAATAATATAATTTTTTTTTTGTAAATATACAAGTATGATAATAATATACATAAAGAGTAAAACAATTTTTTTCACATTTTATTACACTATAATCAAATAAAATATAAAAATAATTATTTTATCTTATATTATTAACCGAACACATATACAGAGATAACACGCACCCATGGCTACTCTCACTCTTCCACACCTCCTTTGAACCACAGCCACGTAATCAGTGTTTTAAGACCTGGCCCGGCCCCGCGGGTTGACCCGGGACCCGGTCGACCCGGATCTATGGGCGGGCCGGGTCTAAGCAAAAAACAGGCTGGGAATTGGCCCGGTCAGACCCGGTCGACCCGGAGGGTCGACCCGGGACCCGGAAGGCCCGGCCAAACCCGGCTGAGACCCGAGTTTATTTTTTTATATATATCCTTATGCCTGAAACGACGTCGTTTTGGGCTTTTGTAATTAAAAAGCCAAAACGACAAGAGCAAAGGGACGAACGCATTGCAGAGCAACAAAACTGCAGAAGTGAGAAGAAAACCTAATTAATTTCAAGAAATCGTTAAACCCATTTCACTCCATCACGAAAAAGAGCAGATGAGCAGAAGACTCTTGAATCCTTGATCGCCGTTTCAATTCAGAGCATAAGGTTAGATGAGTTTTTACTTGTTTCTTTCTTCTTTCGGCTTTCGCTATCCTCTATTTCAACTTCTTCTCTCATTGAACTTGCAGGAGAGTATAACAGTAGCATCTGTTCTTCCCTCTGTTCACCCATCAATTCTTCCCACCGATTCTTCTCACAGGTATGTATCTCATTTTCTTTGTTTTTCTATTTTTCTGCAACTTCAAATGGTAACATATATGTTCGTTTGCTCTGAATATTGTTGTGAATAATGCTGTGAAATGTGAATATTTTGTTTGTTAATTTTTGTAGCTGTGAATATTTTTGTAGCTGTGAAATGTGAATATTCCATTTGTTAACATATATCCTGTCCCTGTTCGTTTGCTTCTGCTTCTGTTGATGCTGAAATTGAATTACAATTTAAGACTATTCCATGTTAATCTGATTCCATGTTGATCTGTATAGTGAAAAAGAACTAGCACTCTTATTTTTTCTTTTATCCGTGTTGGCCATTTTAGTTTTTGTAATGTTGATATATCAATTTTATGGATAGTGTTGGCCATTTCAGTTTTCTATGATGTTGATATAATATATTAGTTACAATTGAACTGCAATTATGAGAATTTGGATGGGTTGGCCGTTTACTGTTATTTAGATTAGTTATTTCAGTTGTTATTTAGATTAGTTATTTCAGTTTTCAATTTTCCTGTTTGTTTACTTTAATTATGGTAGTAATCTTATAAATTATGCCAGATCCTTAAAATGTCTTCACATGATGGTAGTACTCCAAGTAGTGATCCTTCAACGGCCCAATCATCTCAACCTTCAATTTCCATGTCAAGTGGTGGTAGAGGAAGAACAGATTTGGCATGGGGTCATTGTAGAGAAGCTCCTGAACTTAGTGTTGGTTGTAAAAAAACTAAATTAGTATGTTTATATTGTGCTAAAGTATTTGCGGGTGGTGGCATTAATCGATTTAAGCAACATTTAGCTGGAGCTAAAGGAGAAGTTGAACAATGTCGCAAATGTCCTCCTGATGTTCGACATCAAATGCTTTTGAACCTTAAAGGAAATGTTGAAACAAAAAAAAAAAAGAGTTAGAGAAATGCAAGCAGATTTCAATCCATTTAATGCACAACAAAGGGAGCATGAAGAGATGATGATTAGACAATTAGAAGATGATGATGGTGATGGTGATGATGAGGATGAGGATGAGGATGTCAATACTAAAAAACATATGTTACCCCCAAAGGTTGCAAAAAAGAAAAAGATTCAAAGCACCAACACTATAAAACAATCAACTACAAGTTATGGAAAGCAGAAGAAATCTGCAACATTAGGGACATATTTCATGCCGAGAACAACTCCTGGTGCTCAAAAGTCTCTTCAGAATTGTTGGCAAAGGAAAGAAGCAGTTGAACGGTGTGATCTTGCTTTAGCAAAGTGGATGTTTGATGCATGTGTGCCATTTAATGCTGTTAATTCTGTGTATTATCAGCATGCCATAGATGCTGTAACAGCCATGGGTCCTGGTTATAAAGGGCCAAACTTGCATGCTATCCGTGGATATTACTTGGCAAAAACGGTTGATGAAGTGAAGATTTATGTTGAGAGTTATCGAGAGATTTGGAAGAAGACTGGTTGCACATTAATGGCTGATGGATGGATAGATCAGAAGAGGAGGACTTTAATTAACTTCTTAGTATATTGTCCTAAAGGAACAGTTTTTTTGAAAACCGTAAATGTATCAGATGTCTCAAAGACTGCTAGATTGTTGTATCAGTTGTTTAGAGAGGTTGTTTTGTATGTTGGGGTAGAAAACATTGTGCATATGGTGACTGATAATGCTGCAAATTATGTTGCTGCTGGCAGGTTATTGATGGAAGAATTTCCTTCAATATTTTGGTCTCCTTGTGCTGCCCATTGCATCAACCTCATACTCCAGGACATTGGTAAATTGCAGTCAGTTTGTTGTGTTGTTGAGCATGCTTCTGGTATCATAAAGTACATTTATAATCATTGTTATCCATTGTATTTGATGAGGAAGTTCACTGGAGGAAAAGAAATACTTCGTCCAGCTCCTACTCGTTTTGCCACCAATTTCATTGCATTGCAAAGCATTTTAGCTCATAAAGATGAGTTAAGAGCTATGGTGACATCTAGGGAATGGGTCTCATCTGCTTATGCTAAAGATATCAAAGGAAAAAAATTTGTTGAGAGTGTGCTGGACTCTTTGTTTTGGGAAGAATGTGCAATAATTATGCGAATGAGTGAACCTTTAGTTCGAGTTCTGCGATTGGTTGATGGTGATGATAGACCTTCGATAGGATATTTGTATGATACTATTCATCATGCAAAAGAAGAAATGATGAGGAGATTTCAAAAGAGAAAGCCTAGAGTGAAACCTTTCATAGACATTATCAATATTCGGTGGAATGGACAATTTTATAGAAATCTTTATGCAGCGGCATTTTGGTTGAATCCTCGATTTCAATATGATGCAAATATAATGGATAAACATATGAGCACCATTTCTGGACTTCTAGATGTTTTAGAGAAGTATGCACATGGAAATCTACCATTGCAAAGTAAGATTACAAGTGAGATGAAGTTTTTTAGGAATGCTGAATATGACTTTGGCCGAGTGTCCGCAATAAATAATCGCATCCTTATGCCTCCAGGTATATAATTTTTATATTTAAAAATATTTTTTGACATAGTCTCACACTTTTACTAATTTTTTCTTTTTTGTGTAGATGAATGGTGGATGACATATGGAACCAGCGCTCCAAATCTACAACAATTGGCTATACGAGTGTTAAGTCAAACTTGTAGTTCTTCAGGATGTGAGAGAAATTGGAGTATGTTTGAACATATTCATTCCAAGAAGAGAAATAGATTGGAGCACCAAAGGCTTAATGACCTTGTTTACGTCCACTGCAATCTAAGATTGAAACAAAAGTATTTTTCTTTTCTCTAATTCCTTAAATATTATTTTAACTTGTTTAGTAGCATTATTAATACTTATATTGTGTTTACTTTCACTTTTAATATATAGGAATTATTGGAAAGGACGAAATTATGATCCAATTAATGTTGAGACAATTTTTGACATTGAAAATTGGGTAGTTGAAGATGACCCATCAATCTTGACAACGGAAGAAGTAGAGAGTTTTCACCAAGCTCTTTCAACTATGACCATACAAGATACTTTAGATGATGGTAATTAATGATTGATTATTTAGTGATAAATATTATTTAAAATAAAGTATTATTTAACACATAATATTTATTTGTTAATTATGTTTGGAATGTAGATGTCATAAATGTTAATGAGATTGAAGATGATTGTGATGATGAAGTTTCAAAGGAGCATGCTGATGATTTATTAGGTGTTGACGAGATTGGCTCATTTCCATCAACATTTGATCCGAATTTTGCTCCCATGGACACGGAAGAACTTAATGTGTTCATTCAACAAAAGTGAATGCGTTGTTGATTTAGAATTTATATTGTTGGATGTTTTGTTTAAAATATTTTAGAATTTATATTGTTGCATGTTGGATGTTTTGTTTAAAATATTTTAGAATTTATATTTGGTTTGTGTTTTGGATATTAAATTAAATTTATGTTGCTGGTTTAAAATTTAAATTTGATTTATGTAAGTGTTGCATTATAAATTTGTAATTAGTAGGTGTTTTATACAAGTTTTTTTTTTGGGGGTTGACCCGGGTCAACCCGGGTCAACCCATTTGACCCATGACCCGATCACCAGACCGGGTCGATGACCGGATCGGATTTTAAAACTATGCTAAATACAGCTTTTTTTCCTGTGTCTATTATTTCTATTTCTTCCATCTCTATAGAGTAAACAAAGGCTACCTTATTTTATGTTTTTCTGCGATTGCCCTATCGCTACTGCTTGTTTCTTCACGCTTGGCCTTTGTCTATGCGATGTGCTGCCGTTTTAAGATGCTGAAGCCTCTACATGTAAAATAACAAACATAAACGACACGTCTTTTTGTTTATTTTGTCTTCCTTTCGATATAATCTTGCCTGTCATTGTCGGTTCCACTGTTAGTGCAGTTTTTATTGCAACAGCGCACGTATTAAGCTCCAATTGGCTTGAAAAAGGTACGAGTCTTGTCCAATTCTCTCTCTCACAAAATATCTGTGTATATATTATTGGTAGATTGAACAGGAGGAGTAGGAGGAGGAGGTAGGCTAATCATTTCCAGGCTAGAAAAACATTAAAAACTCAGGTTTGTGTTGGCTTAATGTAGTGATAAATTCACGTTTTTGAGATAAACCAATTTGATGTCAATGAAAAAGATTTATGGGTTTTATTTTTCAGCCTAATTGGTTCATGTTTTCATCATCAAGTTCAGTGCTTTCTTTTTTTCTTGTCTGCGAGTTCTCTTTTACATACATTCACTGTTGCGGGAATTTGAGATCCTGTTGGCTGATTTTTTTTTTGGCCGGTCGAAGTTGTGTTTGAATTCATTTAGGCTTGAGAGAAAGCTCCATTGTTTGTTGTTTAGTGTATAGTATTATGAACTGTACATGTTCAGTTGTAACATCGATAAACTCTCCTTATTTGTTTTTTTTTTTCCTTGCATTTAACTTATCAGCTCATCTATACTTGTAGCTGTTATCCATTGCCATGCTGCTTTTCAAGGTGGTTTCCTTTGCTTTAGTCTATGCTCGTTATTGTTCTTGTTCTTGTCATTTCTAAACAGCTATGCTGCTGCCGCGTCCTCAGTTTATTGAACAATATTAGTTGCCGTCATTGTGCTTGGATATGTTTACTTAACCAGTTATGAAACTTTCTTGTATACCTATATACTTGAAATTAACTCTAAAATTAGTAAACTTGTTTTCATTTTCTTTAAATAAGCAGAACGGTTACTTGCATGTTTAGAATGTTTTGGTTAATTTTGATACTCTCATGTCTTACTAACACTCCAGTTAAGAATGAGGTTTGATTCCTTTTTATTTTCATTTTTTTTATGTGTTCAATGTGTAATAACTAATATTATTAGTTCTATGATTTTCAGCTAATCAATTTTGGTTTTGCAGGTGATTTGAGATTGGTTAGTGCATTGCCATGTCAGGGAGAGTTAGGCCCTCTGCCTTGTGGCATACTAAAGTTTCTTTCAAATAGTAGCATGGAGAAGAAAAAAATAGATGAATATGAACCAGGACCGCTTCCTTCACCAAGACCACTGGATAGGTTTGGCTTTTTGAAGCAAGAGGTTAATAATTCATCACATGGTTTAACCAAAGGAAGGTCAGCTTATGAATTTGAGAGGTATGGTGTTTCTTCAGGAGGTCACTTTCAATATTCCAAATGAGTTAATGTCAAAGGCTCATTGATGGATCTTCCTTGCATACTAATAGATAATAATCTTGATTAGTGATTGTGGACATAAAAAATTTTCAGGGAGGAAAGAAGGGTAAGAAAATGGAGGAAGATGATTGGGGTTGGAGGAAGTGATTGGAAGCATTATGTTCGAAGAAAACCTCATGTTGTTAAGAGGCGCATACGGAAAGGAATCCCTGACTGTTTAAGGGGTCTTGTTTGGCAGTTGATATCTGGAAGTCGAGACCTTTTGCTGATGAACCCTGGGGTTTATGAGGTACTCCTTCATTTGTCTTGATTGAGATATATAACCTGAGATCTTTTGCTTATCATTTTGGTAATGAGATTCTAGTTGTAATATGTAGTGGCTATGCTCATATTATCTTTGAGCCTTAAAATCATTCATGTTTAGTTCTTCAGCTGGACTCCCTCACTTCTTCCTTTTTCTGAATATTTTGCACATTGGTTTGTTCACTTCAACTCGTAGGTGTTAAAGGCACAAGATTTAAAGCTATCAGACAATAAAATTTAAAATCAAAGTCCATGTTGATTGATTAAATCATGCATTTGTTTTCCTTCTTAATGTTTTCTACAATTAGTCATTATATCTGATCCAGAGGATTAAAATCAGCTTTGGCTCTATTTTAGTGGATGGTATATCGGTATGCTAAAAAGAGCATTTGATGGTGGCAGTGCCTAAAATTCTAGGGCTTAGTTTGTGATGGCCTGATATACTCATCCGGATGATTTAGATGTATGAATTTCAGAACTTTGCTTGGTTGCAGAAAGACCTTAAGAATTTTTTAATTTTTTATATGAATGGTGAATTTCATAGATAGAAAACCAGAAATTTCCTGGTTTACCAGAGTTATTTACATCTAAATATGAAAGAAAATTTATCTTAAAAAATTCCTGAAGTCACAAAATCTGGAAATTTTTGGGTAACTAGTTGCTTCCTGCAAAATCTTAGTATCTTGAAGCCTTATCTGGACTGTCTGAACAACGTTCTTTACAGTGCTACCTTTCATCTACTGCAACAGTATTATGAATCTTTTGGTTCCTTTCCTTCCAAATACAGTAGAAAAAAAACACCAATGAAGCCACATAACAATAGATTGAAAAGACTTTTTCTGAATAAAGATTTTTGCACTCAGAGTTCCAAACAGAAAAGATCCTATTATTCCCACAAATTTGGAGAATTGGCTGTCAGACTCTTTTAGAGAACACACAAGTGAGGAAGAGGGTTGATTTCTGTCTTCATCATCCTCTGCTTTACACACAAACTGAAGCCATGACCCTGACCATTTTGATGTGCCTCATCTTTATAGTTAACCTGTCCAGAATAGCTTGCCAGAAAATAAAGCTGTGCCTTGGAATGGATAGAGGCCCTCAAATCAACTTAAACCTGTCCACTCTGCTTCATTTTTTCTTGATCAAATCCCAAGCACTCTTAGAAGAGAATTTCCCATCATCAGTGAGTTTCCATGTAACACCATGGCTTTGCAAAGGATAAGGGAAGAGAAAGCCACGAATAGCACATTGAATGGCACTTCCATGGCATCTGAGCTAGCCATTTACTTTCATTGCTGCTTTTTTCTGTAGAAGGCGGTCCAGATTAAAAAATGATCCTCTGACCATATTGTTTGACCAAGGATCCATGAGGATGCCAAGAGTCCCACCAGAGATGGATAATTCTTTCCATTGCCTGCTGAATGCTCTATATAGTCCTGAATTAAATTTCTGAACTTTAGCAATCTCCAAGTTCAAGAACATTCATTACAGACATTTAAGCACCATGGGCCTTTTCCCTTAAGAAAGATTGTTAAAAAAATGCCTATATTTCCCATTTACTTGGCATTTATGTCTCTATAATCCCTTTCCTTAGGGAAGCTATGTAACATGTCAGGGAAGGGATTGGCTGGGAAACCTTGATGAGCAATTGTGTCTTGCCATGCTTATTAATGTTAGTTGTATGTAAGAAGATGAAAAATAAAGTGTGCATCGACATATACTAGGTTACTTGTTTAGTTTGTACACATTATCTCACACATAATTTTTTTCTTTTTGTAAAGACATTTAACATTCAAATTGTATTGCCTTGTAGTGATGTGTGACTGCCTTATAATTTAGATTCAGGGCAATTGTTTGATCAATGTACATAGCTACTGCTGGGAAATTTAAGGTTTTTTTGTACATAGATAAATGGTGATTTGTTCTGGAGTTGAAATTGAAAGCAGAAGGGGATAATATGGTATCTGTAGGAACAGTACCTATGAACATTATCCAGGGAGCTGCTTTGGTATATACATGTATGAAATTTTTGGCTCTGACAAGGGCTCTACAACTCTCGCATAAAAATTAATGGATCAGTGCTGAAATTATTGCAGATTACATACAATGAAGCTTTATTCCAAAAATATCTGTAGATCATTTTGCTAGTACAATCAGTAAAGTAAAACAAATCATATTCTTCTTAGAAGACGTGGAGAAGGGATATTTCTTTTCTATAGCTCTTACTGGCATCCAATCATGTGTCCTTCAATGCTTTTCTTTCTTTTGTTCTTTGTAAGGAATCTAAGCTATTTCGTTCTTCTTTTCCTATTTTTGACAATTTTAGTTTTCCATCAGCGTAGCTAAGAGGGTTTTAGAGCTCTTGAGGGTTTTGAGAGGCTCTTTTGCTAATCCTTTCTAATACCTCCAGGCTATTATCCTTACTTTGAACCAAATTTGGAAGGATAAATTGCTTTTGAGATAAAACTTTTGTTTAGGGCACCTTGATAGGGTAGACACTAATGAGCTTTTGCATGTAATAGACCAAATAAGGCTCTGTCTTCTGATGTGTGTTTGTGATGTGCCTTCATATGAGAGAAACACAGGATTGATTTGTTTTTACTGTTCACTTGCAAAGAGATTTTACAAGTATTGACTAGGGATTTATTCTTGGAGAAATTTACTACTACATAACCAGTACATTATCTGTGAAAAGATCCTAAGTGGCTGGGGAATTATATGCTAAAAAGAATACATGAGTGCACTGTTCTTGGTTTCTGATGTTAATTTTAGCTTTTCATGCTCTTTTCCCTCTGCTTGCATGTGCACACAGCCACACATAGATTAGTTTGTGTCATAATGATGACACTATATATTTACTGCAGCAACTACTTATATATGAGACATCAGCATCGGAGCTGGATATAATTAGAGATATTTCCCGGACCTTCCCATCACATGTTTTCTTCCAGCAGAGACATGGTCCTGGTCAAAGGTCGCTGTACAATGTTTTGAAGGCTTACTCTGTGTATGATAGGGATGTTGGATATGTTCAGGTCTGAGACTTGTGTGATTTATGGATCTTAAATTTACTTAATTCACTTACTGGAGAATGACAGTGCAATTGTTAAAAAATGCAGGGGATGGGATTTTTAGCTGGTTTACTGCTTCTTTATATGAGTGAAGAGGATGCTTTTTGGTTGTTGGTTGCATTGCTGAAAGGGGCAGTCCATGCTCCAATGGAGGGATTATATCAGGTAATTCATTTATACAGAGAGCTTCTTGTTCACATTTGTAAAGTTGTGGTTAGCTTAGATTATTGGCTGTGAGATGCTAATTCCCTACAATCACAGATATAGATCACTATCAAGTGAGCACAAACTGGGCGAGATAAAGCAACACAATGCGATAAGATTTGCATTTATACATCTCAACAAGTTTTCATGTGGCTTTGTTGTGGTGGTTGGTGTTTCAGGGAGAGTGCTCAAAGGAAGCGTTATCATCCATCAACTTCCTTGACAATACATGCACCATATAATGGTGGTGTCACTTGCAACTTTTCACTTAATAGTAGCTTGTAGGATCATATCCTCTGTTAGCGTTACAAAAAAAAAAAAAGAACTATGCCCTCTGCTGATGAAATCAGGCTTGAATTTCCTCTTTTTCTCTCCCACGCACACCACTCGTGCACACTTACACTAGTAATGCCTTGATAAGGAGCTGGGACCACTTCTTGATAATTTGTTTCCCAAGTTCAGAATTACAAGATGCATAATTATCTACATTACAATTTCAAATAAGATAACCTAGAGGGGTGGCTTACTGCTTCCTCAAACTTAGGAAAAGGTCAGCCACTATGGAGTTTTAACCTTGATTCCATACTCCTTGTCAAGGAAAGAAAAAATATTGTCTATTAGTTTTGAATTACGTTTTGTGGAGACAAGTTTTCTGTAGTTACCAAAATAATGAATCCACTAGTCACCCACAATATCATGACCATTTGAAATTTGTTTGTTTCATGTGATACCAAAAGGTGAGAGAATCTTTTTCCACCAAGTTATGGTGGCATCCTATTCTGAGTTTTGTGGCTCCTTCAAGCTTTCTTAGAGTTAGATTGATCTTTGTACATTCAATGGTAGTTCAATGGTAGGTTCACCGCATGCTGCATGCTACTTGTAAATGAGCTGCTTCATACTTGAGAGAGAAAAAGGAATGCAATGGTCAGTAAACTGCCGAGATTTATTACCGTCTCAAAACCCCATGAACCATTTATTGGTATGATATGAGCATATGAACCACCTGTAGCCTCTTTTACTATTTTGAACTGGAGTCTGAGGGAACAGCACCTCATCCACTCTTCTTGGGCTTTGAAAACACTTTCATCCTGTGAGAAGTTATATTTTATACTTTGTCAGGTGGGCCTGCCTCTTGTTCAACAATATCTGTTTCAGTTTGACTGCTTGATGAAGGAGCATATGCCGAAACTGGGAGAGCATTTCACCCAAGAAATAATAAATCCTAGCATGTATGCAAGCCAGTGGTTTATAACTGTTTTCTCGTACTCTTTTCCATTCCACTTGGCCCTTCGGATTTGGGATGTCTTCCTTTATGAGGTCAGTTATTAATCATTTTTTATGGTTTTTCTGGGAAGGATCATTACATATGGTCTGGGTGTTAATATGTGTCTGCAATTTATTCTTTGCCAGGGTGTAAAAATTGTTTTCAAAGTGGGTCTGGCACTGCTAAAATATTGCCATGATGACTTGGTGAGGATCCAAGATTTTTTTGTCTACTCTGAAAGAAATAGCCGCACATCCCTAGCTTGTAATTGGTTTTCTTTTTGTTATCAGGTCAAATTGCCCTTCGAGAAGCTTGTACATGCTTTGCGTAATTTCCCTGAGGGTGCAATGGATCCAGATACAGTACTGCCTATGGCTAACTCCATCAAGGTTCTCTCTTTCTCTCTGTGTGTGGCTGGCATGTGTTTAAGCAAAAACAAAGTTTTATTTGAACTCTACATTCTACCATCATATCACACTTATTATATATCATGGTTGCTCTGGTTATCTCCATCCATTTTCTGTATGTTGTGTCAGTTTATTCAAATTATAATTATAGACAGTCTTATGCTTCTATGATGATCTTTGGATTTTAATCTTTTGAGCCAGTAAATATGTTGTATTTTACGGTGATATTTAATAAAAGTTTGCCGTCATTCGTTAGCAATCTCTGTTTGAGCTGCCAAAAATTCTGATATTCTTAGGTCTGTTTTGGTTGATTTGATACAACCACTTTTCCTGTGTATGTTTTGTTTTGTATTCTTGACACAGAATAGTGAAAAATATGAAATATAACCCTCAGAAAAAATATGGTTCCTCCTAAAATCATGAATAGGTAAGAATTATTAATATTTGGGGCCATAAATATTAGCGGAACCATATTGTATTTTTTATGATTTACAAGGGGAGCCATAAGGAGCATGTCTGTGTGTGCACATTTTATAAGGTTATTGGATATTCGAGCAATTTGGCTGTATTTTGGGCAGTGCTTAAATTATGCTTAAGACACACACCCCTGGCAGCAGTGTAATTAATACGTGTTAGTGTTCATGGATATTGAAACAGCTTAGTTTTTGAGGTAAAACTTTATTCATCATTCATGAAAAAGGAGTGGATTCATTATCAGGTGTCCAGACGTTTGGAAGAGCTGAAACAGGAGTATGACAAGAAGAATGGAAAGCGAAGTCATTCCACAGAAATTAACAGGAATCAGGAAGAGTTACAATGAAGGTTTTTCTCCTCTTTCAAGGGAGCTAAGCCTTTAGTTATTCCATCCATTCTGATTCTTTTATTCTTTTGTCATGAACTATCTTATAGTATGAAAAATGTATATAAAGCATTTACTTCCGTGATGGCCTGATGCTCCATAGTTGCTTGGTGGAGTTGAAAATGTCCATGAAACATGTGAGGCATTCGGATTAGAGAAAGTAGTGTGACATTAGTGGTCAGATCTAGTCATCTCCTACTAGGATGGGATTCTCTTCTTGATTGTAATGCATTGAATATGATAGTGATAAAGATGATGACTAGATTCTGTCTTTTCAGCAATGATTGCACGGGAGGTGTGTAATTTCGGTATAATAGTTAAAGAATTATTTTTAAACGCCTCTCCTGCCCTGGATATGTCTCTCACCTTGTTAACGTTAAAATTTGTTTTCTATCTTATAACTACTAGAGTAAATCAACTAAAATGACATGCTCGTCTGTTTACCTTGGTAATAGTTACACTTGCTACTTCTTAGAAGGAGAGTTGATTCACTTAATTTCTTTTTGCTTCTTGTTCCTAGTTAAAGATTGCAAGTCAACAGAAGTTCCTTGTGCTAACCAGCTCATAAAGATTTTGGCTGACACAGAATTCTTATCCAGCCAGATGGGGTTGGTAGTGGGAGATCATCACAAAATTAGGGCAACAGAAATGCTTCATATGTGTCATCATCGAGAAAACGTGCAGTTGCCAAATTGTTCTTGAGCATCCTTAAACACCTGTAGAATAGTTGAAGACGCATGTTGTCTGGTCCTTGTGCCAAGCCTGCTGATACACATTGCTTGGAAACATCATGATTAGTTTTTCAATAAGAAGATAGATATCTAGAGCACCATTGAAGAATCGCCTTTTTATGGTAAGTTCCATGCATTTGCTGCATGCTGCCTAGTGGTTTACTTTCCGCCCAACATGCAAAAGCATAGGCTCTAATGAAGCCAATGTCTCGACAGAATTTATTCCTAACCAGTGGATGCCCGTGCAATTTGACAGGAGTGTCGGCATATCTTCCCTTTAATAATGGTGCTGGCAACCATTAAGGTTAAACTTGGTTAGGGTTTCAAGACAGAGGGAAGATATATCTGGAAGAATCATAAAGATGATGGTTAGAATGATAGAACAGAAACCTTAAAAAATAAAGATATAAATTCTTGTCATTTTAGAATATAAAGATATAACCTTTTATCTCTAGTATTTTATTTTATATTTTTCTGTATTGATACATTAACCAGAAGATTAACTTGGAAAATATAAGAATTTGATTCCTTTTCAAGAGGGAATTATTCTTTAATTAATGCTGTAGTGGGCCTATATTTGCATTTGTCATGTCTCTAATTTGTGAAAGCTAATAGTAATAATAAATCATGAGTTTGATTGCTATATTTAGCATATTATGTAAAAGATGTATTGACTTACCTTTTTTAATTTTCTCCTTTTCAAGCACTTTAACTTCTATAGAAACACAATTAATACATTCCTTTAAGAAATTAGTGCAAAAAGGGATTTTTTTTTCTCTAATTCAAATTTTAAATCCAATTAATACATTCCTTTAAAAATTAGTGCAACAAAGGGAATGTTTTTTCTAATTCAAATTTTAAATCCAATCAATACATTCCTTTAAAAAGTAGTGCAAAAAAGGAATATTTTTCTAATTCAAGCTTTAAATCCAATTAATACATTCCTTTAAAAATTAGTGCAGAAAAAGGAATGTCTTTTTTAATTCAAATATTAATGTGTTTGGTAAAAATTATAATTGAGTTTTATATACAACAAAAACCTGTATAAAATATTTAGTAATTGTGTAGTTATGATTACTTTTAAAAAAAAAGTTATTTGAAAATGTATTAAAATAATGTATTTTTATTTTTTAAAAAATATTTTTGATATTAGTGTATTAAAATGATCTAAAAATATAAAAAAATAATTTGAAGTAAAAAAATAAAAAATTTTCAATTTTTTCAAAAGTGTTTTTAAAATGCAAAAACAAAGTGTTTTATAAAACTCAATTAAAAAAATATATAAAAATTACTTCATGAAAATTACATTTCAAACTTAATTTTTTTAGTGGATTCCATAATATTAAACAATTTTTTTACCATTACTAAATATTATACCGCAAATATAAAAGTAGGTATAAAATAAATATACATACCACATCTACTAGGTATGTTGATTATTTTATTAGAAGAATAACTTGCTCTCTAAGTAAATATTTTTTTAAAAGAAATCACAACTTAACTAATTAAAATCTTCTCACTTTTTACTTTTTACTTTTTACTATTTCCTTCTGGATTGAATTTTAGAAGTTTGGATACTAAAATTCCCCTTATAACACGGGACCTCGGTTACAAATTTTATTGATATAAATCTAGATAATCAGAATATTTCACTTTAATTTATTTTCTTTTTTTCTTCACCTTTGTGCTAAGTATATGAATTTAATTATTTATACACACATATGTTAAATTGTTACTTTTAATTGGTTTATAATTGTCAACTTGATGTTTTAAATTAATTAACTATTTTGTAAAGCCACGGTCCTTAATTGACTTTGTTGACAAAAAAGAGAGGCTATAAAGTGAGTTATTTAATCTGACTATACCCTATATAAGTTCTAAATAATGTGTTAAATCAATATTTTTAAAAACAAAATAATATTGTTTTTAATTATTTAATTTTTAAAAGAAAAAACCAAAAGGTTTTTTCAATTGCAATACGAGTTCATCTAAATTTTTCATTGGATTAATACTTTTTATTTATTATAAAATTCAATTAAGATTAAGAAAGTATTTAAAAGTGGGAGCTTTTAAAAATTATATTAAAATAATCTAAAAATAATAAAAATAATATTAATTTCAAATTAAAAATTTTAAATTTTTTAATAATATTTTTAATAGACAGAAATAAACAAATATCTAGATAAATCAAATTCAAAGTTAACCCGTAACTAGTTTTTTTTTTTGGGAAAGTAGAAGGGTTATTGTGGCTCACTACAGATTTGGAAGTGAGCCCAGACAGATGCTGTGGGACCCAGACCAGCAAGCAAGACAAGCATGAGAAGGGCACAGAAGGAAGAGACAAAGGGGCAGGCAGTAAACGTATGGGGTGGGAATAGTGACGTGTCGTGTCAGCCTTCCAATAAAAGCTAGATGGCCGCTGCAACTTATCATCATCAACAGACACGTCAGCGCAAGAAAAATAATTATAATTATAATTTATTAAAATTCATTTTAAAAATATGTATCTAATTAAAAATATTGTGGAATAGATTTTCACAATAAAATAAATGTAATGCAAGTCTTCAGGAGTAAAAAACTGAAATTCAAAATAATTCAAAGCGTAAACTATAAACTATTTAATTAATTTTTTTTTTCTGGAAACAAAATAGAAGGTATCGGTCTGTTAGACTCTTCCTAAGGGCACGCCTCAATTCTAGCAAACTTAGCCTCACACGTGGCCTTCAGTTACCGGATAAACGAGTAATCATTTATATATCGACTTAATGGACTATTAAATTTACCTAAAAACAACTTAAATGTTTATTTTATTTTATTTTGATAATCATAAAAAGAAATAAGGCTGACAATGCAGAAGAGCCACACACTTCTATTATTCTACCGACTCGCCCACCTAATGCGCTGTCGTTACACCGCTTATCTTGCAAACTCGTGAAGGGTAATATAGTCATTAGGTTACCAAAAGATGTGGCTGTCCGGTCTTGGAGGAAATTCACGTGGAATAAGAAAGAAAGTTTTTGGTAGTGGCATGGACGTAATTAACTGCCAATCCCATGGTTATTTCAAAACATCCCCAGCCATCCAGCCACTCCTATATAAACCCTATATTTCTCTCAGAACTCACATAAAAAATATTGCAAGTTTAGGGTCATAAAAATCGCTCTCATCACAAACAAATATAGGGTTTGTTGATTTGGTGACTGTTTTCGCCGTCTTTGCTATCAAAATTCAATCTTGACCTGTCTCTTTTATGCTTTTTGAATAGGTAATAGATACATTGTTTGTTTTGCTTGCTTTGGTTTTGTAGTCTGGTGATTTTGTTTAATTCTTTGTGGCTTTGGTTTGTAGGTTATTTTATTTGGTTTTAACTTGAGATAGAGGGGCTATTCGAAGGAGACTAGCTTTTCAAGATTTGATTTATTTTATTGGTAAGTTTTTGGTTTTTTCGTTTTTTTGTAATAGTTGCATGGATTGTAGATGTTGATTTGGACATGTTTTTGTGTTGTTGTTCTTTATGTTTTATGTGTATGTGAATTGTTCTGATCCTTGATATAATGCAAATCTGGGGCTTTATTTTTATGGATTCGTTAAGGTGTATGGACTTGGTTTCTGTTGCATAGCAATGATTTTGGTTTTGAACTAATTTTTTTGTTACTTTTATGCTGTTAATAAATTTAATACTTGAAAAAAAAGGCATTGCAAGTTTTCATCTGGGAATAACTTATTTTGATGGAAGCTGCTTAGCAATTTTTTTATTTTATTTTGCAACTTATTTAAAATTAAATTGTGTTTGGGAATTTGAATTCCTTTTCCTTTGTATTAATTATATCCTTGTGAATCTGTTTAGTCTTTTGAATTCAATTTTTTATTTTATTTTGGTGATTGATTAGTGATTTTGTAGCTTGTATTGTCTGTTGATTTTTAACCTCCAATACGTCTCTATTGTGAATACATGAAAGACGTTTTCTGCTAGGACCCTTTGTTTTGTTTGCCCTTTTTATAATGTTTTTGAATTGCTTCTTTTATCTCCTTCTCTTACTTCTCAGTTTTTTTATGTATGTTGCTATTGGAATTTTGCTGTTATTTTTAAGATTGTAGACTAGTTTGCTATCAGTTTTGTGCTAATTGCAATCCTTCTTGTATGATTCTTACAGACAAGACTGAATGATCTAATGGAGTCCAAAGGTGGCAAGAAGAAGTCTAGTAGTAGTAGTAAATCTTTATTTTACGAAGCTCCCCTCGGTTACAGCATTGAAGACCTAAGACCTGCTGGTGGAATCAAAAAGTTCAGATCTGCTGCATACTCCAACGTGAGTTTGAAGTTAATCGATCTGTTTTTTCTTTGGCATTTCATTGTGCGACTGGTTTCCTAACCATGTGTCATGTTTATTTGTGCAGTGCGTTCGGAAACCATCCTGAGATTTTCCAAGTGTTGACATAACCCCATTTTAGCTATTTCGCACACTCAATTGTCTTTAGTCTGTTTTTCTGTTCTGCTTTCCTCGTTCTCTTGTACTCTTTGCTGCACTTTTCATTTGTTGACTCTGAGGTCAGATGGCGCTGCCAATCTCTGCAATCGGATTTGAAGGTTACGAAAAAAGGCTTGAAATATCTTTCCTAGAGCCTGGCTTTTTTTCGGACCCTGAAGGGAAGGGCCTGAGGTCTTTGTCCAAGGCTCAATTGGACGAAATTCTCAGACCAGCTGAATGTACTATTGTTGATTTGCTATCAAATGACCAGGTTGATTCTTATGTCCTGTCGGAATCCAGTCTCTTTGTCTACCCTTACAAAGTTATTATCAAAACTTGTGGGACCACCAAACTGCTTCTCTCGATACCGGTGATTCTTAAACTCGCTGATGCCCTTTCACTCACTGTATGTTCTGTGAGGTATACTCGTGGGAGCTTTCTATGCCCTGGGGCTCAGCCATTTCCACACCGCAGCTTCTGTGAGGAGGTAGCTGTCCTTGACGATCATTTCAGTAAACTTGGTTTAAACAGCGTGGCATATGTGATGGGTGGTCTTGACAAAACTCAGAAATGGCATGTTTACTCTGCCTCTGCCGATATAGAGAGCCATTCTGGCCCTGTTTACACTCTGGAAATGTGCATGACTGGTTTGAGCAGGAAACAAGCATCTGTTTTCTACAAAACACATTCCAGTTCAGCTGCTGCGATGACTGAGGATTCTGGTATAAGGAAAATCCTTCCACAGTCTGAGATCTGTGATTTTGATTTTGACCCTTGTGGTTACTCTATGAATGCCATTGAAGGGAGTGCGATTTCCACAATCCACGTCACTCCAGAAGATGGTTTCAGCTATGCAAGTTTTGAGGCTGTGGGCTATGATCTTCAAGATTTGAATTTGAGTCAGCTGCTTGAAAGGGTTTTGGCTTGCTTTGAACCGACCGAGTTCTCCGTTGCTTTGCATTCTAATATCAAGGGTGCCGAACTTCAAGCGAAGTTTCCCCTGGATGTGGAAGGTTACTCAGGTGGAGGAGGGAACTATGAAATGCTTGGGAAAGGAGGATCGATCATCTACCACAGCTTTGCAAGGACTGGAGGCAGTGCATCTCCCAGGTCTATCCTGAAATGTTGTTGGAGTGAGGATGAGAAGGACGAGGAAGTTGAAGAGAAATAGTTCTTTTCAGCTATTTGTTTTTCCTTTTATTTTTTCCTTAAACAAATGTCATGGTGTTATGATTCTGAGTTCTAGAGGCATTTGTCCGTGCCTCGTGTCTTTTATTATCAATTTGGTTTTGACTTTGGATTAATAAAGGGGTTTGTGTTATCAGATCTTGCAAGTGTAAAACCTGTATTTCATCATTCAAATGCATGCTAATTTTGGTCGAGAGCCTTCTCCTTTCGATCATCTTGATTGCTTGATATATATATATATATATATATATATATAAACACTTTGACAAATAACCCCCACATCCATTCATCATCTCTGGTTTTAAAATATATATATAACCTCTTTGACAAATAACCCCCACATCCATTCATCATCTCTGGTTTTTAAATTGTGAGCTGATTGCTCCGAGTCCCTTGGATGAAGGAAAACTGGAAAAAAAGGGGGGTGCTCATTTTCATGGAGGCCTTGCTGCTTTGGACGTTGTGGTTCCAAATTCTGCCGTAAAAGTAACGAAAGTGCAAAAGCTTATCATTAGAAGTTGATTGCTTGCAAAGCCGCTTAGCTTGAGAGTAGCGCTCAACCGTTGAAATTTTAAAGAAAGAAAATCAAAAGGTACAGTTATATTATAATGTTGTGTTGATAATTTTGTTATCCAAATGTACTAAAAGAAATTAAATAAAAAGGCATTAAATTAAGCTAAAAATATGAAATTAAATAAAAAATAAAAAAATCCCCGAGTCTAATTTGAAGGTCGTGTTGACCGCAACTAGTCCCCAGGAGGGCATCTTAGTTAGGCTAAAATTCTTGATGGTTGTAATACATCCTAAAATGCGATATTTTCTAAATATTATACAAAATATTTTTGGTGCAAAGTGGAAATTCGAAAATAAAAAAAAGAATAGGATAATAATTGAGGAGCGTGCATTGGGAGAATAAAAGGAGCGGCAAGCAAGCATGCATGGGACAGGTTGACACGAGTGCCTTTCAAGGATATGACCAAAGAACAAATTCTTTTCGCACGTGAATGGAAAAACCGGGTCTTGGAATATTCGACCCGCCTGTCACCTCCGGACCCTTTCTCGGTGGCGTGCAGCTGGGAAGAACATATCCAACGAAGAGGTTCTCAGCCTCTCAAATGATACGAATTTTCAAGGTCATTGTGGATTTGTGGCGTGGAGAGCAGGGAGCCATGGAATCAAATCTGTACCGTAGACTGCAGCGAGCATGTTCTTCAATGGAGCCCTAGCTAGTCACGAAACTTGTGCTTTTTCGAGGAATTGACTAGAGACTGGCAAACTGTTCAAATCTGGGTTTAGTGTTTTTGTACTCTATCGCAAGAAACAAAAAAAAAAACAAACAAAAAATAAGAGAAAATATCTAGGGAGTTCAAAATATAAAATGACATGCACAATTTATAATTAAAAAAACAGAAAGGAGAAAGAAAAGAAAAAGATTTTTTAGTGTAAAAATGATTGTTTGGGCTCAAGAAGCAGTGTCACTCTATTGTTATCAAACTAACTGTAATTATAGAGTGAGTCATATGATTATTATTAAAAAAAAAATTCATAAATTAAATCTAATAATTTAAAAATCATAAAAAATAATTAAAGTGATTTACACAAGTTATTATTTAAAAGAAAATGATCTCTAATCATTTTTAAGTTTTATATGAACTTTTTTAAGTTTTATATGATCCACTTTATTGATGATCTTATTTGGTATTGTTAAATTCATTTTATTAAAAGAAAATATTTACGAAGTTCAAATTATAAAATGACATGCATAATTTATAATTAAAAAAACAAGAAAAAACAAGAAAAATAAATAAATAAAATTTTATAGTGTAATAATGATTGTTTGGGCTAAAGAAACAGTGTGACTTTATTATTATCAAACTAATTATAGTTCTAGAGTGAGTTATATGATTATTATTAAAAAAAATCTTAATAAATTAAATTTAATAATATAAAAAAATCATAGAAAATAATTAAAATGAATCACACGAATTACTCAAAATCAAATAACCCCAATTATTTTTGAAGTTTCATGTAATTCATTTAATTGATAACTTTATTTAGTATTATTGAATTCATCTCATTAATTTTTTTTTATAATATCAATGGTATTTTCATGGGAGTTACAGTAAGTGTCTCTAGAGTTTTTTATTTATTTATTTCTCTACTCCTTATTATAAATTGTGGGAGGCCATTTTATAATTTAAAAGAATTGCTAGTGACCTCTGCGATATGAGATGCAATTTTTAAAATTATGTTACATTTTTAAATATTTTATAGATTATGTTATTTTATCAACGTTTTGTTTTTTAAAGAGTGCTAAATCCAGAAAAAAAAAATTCTATTTGTGTTTGGGTTCTTTATGAAGTCTAAAACATGATTTAATTGCAGTGTTTTTTAAAAATATTTTTTATTTGAAAATATATTAAAATAATTTATTTTATTTTATTTTTTTATCAACATATCAAAATTATTAAATTTCATAAAAATTATCAATTTAATATTTTTTATGCTAAAAGCATCTATCAATTTAATATTTTTTTTTTATTTTTCATGTTAAAAATATTTTAAAACGTATAAAAAAAGAGTTAGGAATACAATACACCTAGACATTTTGCTTCCCTTTCATCATTCCGCTTGGCTTGGAAGGAAGCCGATGCCACCCTTGGAGAAGGATCTTACATGCCACATTGATGAACTCATTTTATCCATGGAAGATGTGTGTGACTATCTAAATTCACAACCTAGGAGTGTACATGAACGGTATAATCTGCCTATAAAGACAGATACACAAAACACTTCCAATCCACGAGCACACCAGGGAAAGGCAGGAGAGCACGTGTCATCAAGAAACAGGCATGTCTACTTGCCATGTCTGGAGCATACACTACCCAAGATATGACCTAGCTAAGTGTGATGAAATACGTGGGTGGTACTAGATGGTGGATGAACTATGATTATAAGTTTCGTGGTCTTCGTTAACCTATCATTGGAGATGAAGCAATTCCATATGATCTCAAAAATCATGATGATGGTGTAAAGAAGCAAATGCTCACGTGGGACTGCAGGTAAAACTATACCAGCAAAGGCAATCTCAACCTATTTGAGGACAGAATGCAGCACTGGTATTATACATCTCATTATTCATTGCTGCATCATTTTATCACCATTCATCTGTAAGGTCAAACTAGCCAGAGATATAACATTTACTGCGATGTTGCACTGCTGATGCTTGCGCATGGGAATAGCAATAAAAATGTAGCACTGCCTCCATTATTGCAGTTTGGGCCACTAGAACTCTCTACTGAAAGGGTTTACAAGAAGAAAGTATCATATAACATGACAAAGGTTGCTTCAGCAACATTGTAAAATTTGACATTTCAGTTGATCACCTGAAAATTGCTCATTGTCGTAGAGTTACGATAACTTAAGAATGCAGATAATCATCTCTAATTAATTTAACAGATGCAAGAGTTTTAGGCGCTTAGAATTAAACCCCTAGATGCTTCACATTCCGGTTTGTATCTATCTGCATGGCCTCTGCAGCAGTCAGTAAGGTCGAAACTTCCTAGCAGCTCTCAATTGTTGAATCCGCTTTCTGTCCTCCTCAAATTTGCTTCGAAGTGCCATAATTTCTGCAAGGATATTTAACCATCAATACCTTGCTTCACAACAATCAATGAAATGGTAAGGATGCATGTTTGGTCTGAAAATATTTTTCACGTAAAACTCAACTCATCCCAAATTCATCGAGAAGCAACACCATGAGCTGTTTTTTCTTAGATTAAGAGAAAAATACCATCTTTTATGTTCCAAACAAGTGCATGTGGATCTTTAAATGCTTATTATACATCAGGTATCTCCTCATAGTTACTGTAACTAATTAGCATAGCATATTGCACAAAGAAACAGTACACTAATTTGCTAAGATTCATCATACCACTCCTCTGAGCTTCTCTTTTCTGAAACCGATAGAATTCTAGCCCAACTTCCTTGGGCTTTTTCTTGGTCATCTGATTCTCCACAGCAGCTGGAGCAACAGAGCCCACGGTAATTCCACTTTCAGAATCTGTTGTCTTTTTCCTTCCTTTGTGATGTTTCACAACTGTCCACCCCCCTTCCGCAGCTTGGGCTTCTCTTTCTTTTCTTTCCTGTACATGCCATATCAAGACAAATGAGAAACTGTACGCTAGGAAGAAAGACCACAAGACATGATGGAAGCCTAAATCTACCATGAAAAAAGAACACATTGACCAAATAACTCGCCAATAGAAACAAACAAATTAATTTTCAATTGAAGTGAGCAGAAAATGAGAGAAGAGACAGGATGACATAAACTGAATGCTGAAATATGCAGAGCACTATTGCAAAACATTTACTTTACAAATTCTTCCAAATATGTTTGGCGGGACAAACAGCTATATCACTCATCTACCTTTGTCAAAAGATAATTGTGAAAAACATGCTTTTCCTGCAAGCATGTTTCTGTACAAACTCAGAGCAAAGTGTTCAATTTTGAGCCAGACAATGCATGCGCAGGTCTGATCACTCTAAGAGAAACAATAGAAGTACTGAGAAACAAATATGAAAAGGGTTCCACCGCATTATGATCCAGTCTCAGATGTGCATGAGAAACAATACCTGTTCAAGTTTTTCCTCATGGGCAATTATGAACTCATCTAATCTTTGTTGCAGCACTGTCAGACCTGGTCTACTTTGATGATATTCCGTAAGCCACTCTGTGATGCAAGTTTACAGTCAGGAACCTAAATAATTAAGCATCATTCATATATATAAAATCAACATTCAGAAATTAAACTAATATTGTGCATGGTGAAATCAGTCAGACAACTGAATAAAGAAAATTTTAGCTAATACCCTTGCCCCATTCATGACATGCAAATCCTTAATGTCATGTTCCAGGAGAGCCATGAAATAGAAATGGATGCTTAAATGCTACACAATCAATACAGAATAAAAAGGGCGTATGGTTTTACTACCATACACTACTTCTACTTATGGACATCCAATGGTGTAAATTGAAGGGCTAAAACATTTAGTTTTATTTGACCATTTAGTTTTATTTGATTAGTAGAGATTTTTACTAATTAATATGATTTATGAAATTGAAGGGCTAAAACATAGCACACGATATGATTCATACATACTTTTCATTCCTTTTGAGTAGTCCTCATCCCCAGAAGAAATACAACAAGCCTCATCCTGATTGGTCTCTCCCCTCTTTTCAAGCATATTCTCATCCTCCTTTGATGTGTCATGCTCCCTTTTCTTTTTTTTAGATTTCTCGGATTTACCTAAAGAATGAGAAGTACATACACCATGAGACAACACACTAAGAAAGCAAAATAATGTTGACGACAAATTCTGCATAAACAAACAAAGAAATTATGTCATCTGTCTCATCTTCCAATAACATCTTCACTTTGCCCTTTGGATTTTTAATGTCATCCCTTAGCTCAATCAAGCTGTAAGGAAAAAAACAATAGCATGACAAACAAGGAGTATAGTATGAAAACTAAACGGATGTTCATTACTTTATTGCTTAATGTGGATTAGAGTGATCTCAAGTTCAAAAGAAAGAAACACAGCAAAATGAAAAAAAGAGAGAGAACAAAACGTGGCAGCACTTTGGTGTGCATATGCAACGAGAGTTTTAGACAAAAGGACATTGTTAACGAAATCACACAACTCCCATTTTTCCAAATATAGCATTTATCAATTATGAGATTGAGTCAAAGCATCCAGGTATGCACTGATGTAACCTGTCTAGAGAACACGGATAAAAAAAATGACACAATCTTAGTTACATTATGTCAAGAGATATAGCATGTCACTACATATTTCACCAAGCTAAAATCCTATTGACTTACCTTTTAGCTCATTAAAACCATCTTCAGACTCAGCGCCAAGCTGATCAAATTTCCCAACCACAGCATTATTTGGCTTCCCAATTCTTTTTTTCTTTTTTCTTAGTGTGTTCCTTTTCTTTTCTCCTTCTGCTTTAGTCTCATCATCTTCTGAAACAACAAAAACAAGTGAATGAGACAAAGATTAATTGAAAACTAGATAGGAAAAAAGCTTCCTATGTCTAAAACTTTTAAACCTTTACTGATCCAAATTGTATTACCACCATCAGCATTATTTCCCTTTTCCCTTTTCCTCTTCCTTTTCTTCTTCTTGGCAGACTTGTTCACTTTACTATCTCCATCCTCTGTTTTTATCATTACATCTGGAAAAAAAATAAAAATGATCAGGCACTGCTACCAGCAATTAATTTTAGCATTTACAGTTTCAAATATAGCAGCAATTTGGCATAATCTATACATGAAAAGTGAGTTGATAACCATGGTCAAAACCAAGAATTCTTCATTAATGGCATACTACTTATCTGGACCTAAACTGATAGAAGCCTACCAATTTATATCTCTCAAGTGAAATGATTCAGTCCCTGTCTAGGAGTGCCATGGTGCCTGCTGGCTGGTTTGCCGCAACAACCCTAAACAGTCCCTTAAGTAGAGTGATTATGTAATTATCTTATATGTCCCTTACTCAAACACTACACTTTGTGAAGTTTAATTCATTGTACAAAACCACTATAGTAAGAAAAGAAGCTGCAATGATATTCTTGTATCTAAAGGGCTTCTTTTGTCCCTTAATCATTTGAAAAACGAGCTGCCATTTTTCATTCTCCAAGAAAAACCAGGTATTTCATACAAGTAATATAACAGAAATATCAAAAGTTTAATTGACAACCAGATTATGGTGAAAAATAATCACTGGCTGTTTTACCCATTTAGCACAGTAGTTCTCCTTCAGTCAAAGCATGTAAATCCTTGGTTGAAGCATCGAATGGAAGAAAGGGACAGTGGAATATCTACTGATAAACCATGCTGAGCAAAGAACCTAACACATACTGCAAAACACTAAAAATTCTACTCATTACCTAGTTATGGACCTATACTTCTCCCATTGCTACAGTTTTACCACTCTAGGACAATCACCTCATTCACCACCAATAAAAGAAAAAAAGACACACACATTGACTTTTTAACTCCCATATATTTATTTGTGAAATTCTAAATCCTAGGATACAGAGAAAAAAAAGGAGCTAGCAGAAACTAGTGTGAACTTGGAAATCTCTATCCATTACAGCTCCATCTTTAACCAAAAATTCAATAATGACAACAAAGCTGAAGAACCGGAAAATTAACAAACGTTACAGATGTTTCTAAAACTACTTGAACTACCCATTTTTGTATGTGTTGTTACTATGCCAGAATTTCACAGCTGATTATTTAGTAGCAAAAAAACTTGTGAGAAGCAATAGCATTGCCTAATTCTCTTTCTGGAAACACCATCCTGTAGTCGTCCTCATTAAGAGGATACCTAAAAATCTGATATTTCTAATCTCCATTAAAGACTAAAACTTGCTCTCTCAAAACCAATCGTTCATAATCAAAACTCATTCCTTCCTACATGCATCAATTAAACAAACAAAAAAAAATAACATAAAAGATTTTCCACAGCAAGACCCACGAGTTATAATCAAGTAAAAAATAAAAAAAGCAAGAACTTGAAAGATGGTAAGCTATTAAAAGCAGGGAAGTTTGATCCAAGAGATACCCTTTTCACTGAAATCGCTATCGTTAGCTTTCTTGTTCTTTTTCTTCTTCTGCGTCTTGTCTACTATTTCCTTCAAGCTCCCCATCTCTCTCTCCCGCTTTCTCTTAGAGCGTCGCTACTCGAAAAGAACGCGAAAACCAGGGTGCCCCCACTTTATTTACCTCCCTCCGTAATGGTGGAAACATAGCCCCTCATGTTTCAATTAATAGTAAATCTAGTCCCAATATATTATTTTAAAAAATATTAAATTGAACCGAACCAGAAAAATTAATTCAAACCAAATGGTTCAATTTGGTTTGTTATCTTGATTTTTTATTTATTTAAGAAATTAAATTAGTCCACGTGTCTTTTAATTAGGTTTTTCAGAGGTTTTAATGTAATAAGCCTAAGATTTTTTTTTTATTGAAAAACTGATTCAATTCATTGATTTTCTATTAAAAAACAAAATACTCCATTAGGTTTTTTTTTTTTGGTTTTTATTTAGAGGTTTTGATGTAATGAGTTTGAATTTTTTTTCCTTTTTTGTTTTATTTTTAACAAAAAAATTGTTTGGTTCGGTTTCTCAAATTTAAAAAGGAATCCTTTAAAAAAAAAATCTAATGGAGTATTTTGTTCAATCTTATATAATTTTTTTATTAATTTAATTACTCGATTATTTTCATCGACCCTACGAAGTCGAAGGTACTAAAATAAAAGGGAATTTCGAACAAAACTTCGAACATTTGGAACCTAATTGAGACAATTTATAAAATTCGTTTCCTTATTTATGTCACATAGAAATGTCATAGCCACTTCCTAAAATATTATTCATAATTAACCCCGACTTCAAGAGCACAGCGAGCAGCTGCCATTCCCCTCGGTTTTTTTCTGTACAGAACCAGAAAATCAAAGCACTTTGCAGATTGTCAGAGTGAGTGAGAAAACCCCATAAAAATGGCAACTTTGACTTCTATAAGCAATGAAACCCAGTTACTTATTCAAAGTATTTGTGCATCCGTGATAAAGGGTAGCTGGAACAATCTTTTGAGACCCAAATTTGGCTCTAACGATTACCATCTCATTACAACAACAGCAACAGTTGGTCAGGTACTTTTGCAACTCTCTTTATATGACCAAAGTCCTTGTCTTTCATGGGCTTTCTTTAAATGGATTGAATCTTCTGTTCCTAACTATAAACACTCATTGCAATCTTCATGGACTATGCTTTATGTTTTGACAAAGCATAAGCATTTCAAGACTGCTCATGATTTTCTTGAAAATATTGCTTTCAAGGACTTCTTGTCAACTCAATCTGTTTTGAGTTCATTGGTGAAAATTCATGATGACCCAGATGTGAATTCTCATGTTTTGAGTTGGCTTGTGATAGTTTATGGGAATTCCAAGATGACCCACGAGGCTATTCAGGTTTTTGAGCACATGAGAGTGAATGGGTTTAGGCCCCATTTACATGCTTGTACTGTGCTATTGAATTCGTTGGCTAAGGACAGGTTGACGGATACAGTGTGGAAAATTTATAAGAAGATGGTTAAACTAGGGGTTGTATCTAATATTCATGTGTATAATGTGTTGCTTCATGCTTGTTGTAAGTCTGGGGATGTGGAGAAGGCAGAGAAGGTTTTGAGTGAAATGGAATTGAAGTGTGTTTTTCCGGATCTTTTCACGTACAATACGTTAATCTCGTTGTACTGTAAAAAGGGAATGCATTATGAAGCCTTATGTGCTCAAGATAGGATGGAAATGGCTGGAATTAGTCCTGACATTGTTACTTACAATGCACTTATTTATGGGTTTTGTAGAGAAGGTAGAATGAGAGAGGCTGTGCAGCTTTTTAGGGATATCAAGGATGTTACTCCTAACCATGTGACTTATACTAGTTTGATTGATGGCTATTGTAGAGTAAATGACCTTGATGAAGCTTTGAGATTGAAGGAGGTGATGTCGGAAAAGGGGCTGTATCCAAATATCATTACTTACAATTCAATTCTGCGCAAGTTGTGTGAGGGAGGCAGGTTAAGAGATGCAAATATAATGTTGAATGAGATGAGTGAGAGGAAAATTGAACCAGATAATGTCACTTGTAACACGTTGATTAATGCCTACTGCAAGATAGGTGATATGCGATCTGCTTTAAAAGTGAAGGACAAGATGGTGGGGGCCGGGTTAAAGCTAGACCAGTTTACTTACAAGGCATTGATCCATGGATTCTGCAAGGCAAAAGAGATTGTTAAGGCTAAAGAGCTCTTGTTTGGTATGATGGATGCAGGATTTTCTCCTAGTTATTGCACCTACTCATGGCTTGTAGATAGTTATTGCAAGCAACAAAATGAAGAGGCAGTCATCAAACTTCCAGATGAGTTGGTGAGAAGAGGTTTGTGTGTTGATGTATCAGTATACAGGGCGCTAATAAGGAGGTTTTGTAAAATAGAAAAGATTGATTGTGCTCAAAGAGTACTTGGTCTTATGAAAGATAAGGGTATATTTGGAGATAGTGTCGTATACACAAGTTTGGCGTATGGTTACTGGAAAGTTGGAAAAGTCAATGTTACTTCAGATATTTTAGATGAAATGTACAAGAGAAGGCTGATGATCACTCTCAAAATTTATAGATCTTTTAATGCCTCTTATGCCAGTGACAGCAGCATCTTAAGTCTCTTCTGGAATCATGTGCTTGAGAGGCGCCTAATGTCAAAGAACATATTAAAAGACATGCAGTAGACGAAAAAATTTGGGCTCTTAATGGAATGCTGGAATTGACTGCAGTTACCAATTTGAACTTCAAATGCCTTGCACTGACTCCTTTGTCATTTCAGGCCATAACAGTGCATGTTGATTGGGCTAACAAGTAAAATGATTCGAACAAGCATTCTTGCAGGCCATTATCAGAGTTATTCTGTAACCTTATATATGTTTGAAGCTTCATGTAGATTTGCAGAAGTGGTTTGATTCTGTAGAAGAAATACACTAGCCCCTTTCATGGTTTTGCTAGACAGCTGTTTCTCTCAGAACATGCCATGAGCTTTTATGGATGGAACTAGTTTGCTAGACAGCTGTTTCTCTCAGAACATAACATGAGCTTTTCTTAACTCAGTTCTCTTTATGGATGGAACTAAGCAAGTTGGGGTCAGATACAGGTGAGACTTAGACTGACTTGTTAAATGTGATCTCAATAGTTAAATGAAAATGGGAACATAATTTTGCTAGTCTCTTTCTTATTTGGGAAGTAAAACTCAAGGCAAAAGGTCTCACTAGACAAACAAAGGGTATCTTTAACATTGAAATAATTTTAGACAGTGGATTAAGCACTTATAGAACCACTAGTTTTATGTACATATGCATCCTTGAATATTTTATTGCGAGAAATTTACTTTGGTAAAAGCAATTAATAAGCACTTGGATGCACTGACTTGTAAATTACTCAATGCTTTGTAGATGTTCATCTTTTCATATTGAGTTGATTATATATTAATTAATCTTGGATATATTTATGTATGTCTGATTTGATATTAAGATTAATATGCTTCTTTTGATGTAAAGAAGTAAAGGAGGCAGTACAGTCTTTTCTTAGCACAGTTCTCTTTGTGGATGGAGTTCACAAGGCTACAGACTAATTCAAGTGAACCTTTTTTGGTCTTCAACTGGAAGTTGCATGTATTAATCCGAAACAGCTCTTAAATACCTTGCTTTTGTTTCTTAGATCACCACTACTTATAGTATATGTGTGTTATGGCTGATCTTCACATGCTCTTAGCAGAGAATAATACCATTATGACGTTGAATAATTAAATGCAAATGTTTGGGCATATCATATCCAACCCTTTTTATACTGTGAAAACAAAGTAAATAATAGTACAGCAAAATGCACATAAACAGGCATGTGTAATCTTTATCATTTGAAATGATTTTAGACAATAGATTTAAGCACATGTAGCCCCTCTAATTTTTCTTCGAGCTATAAACACTTTGTAGCACATCTTCAACAATTATTAGTGCAAGAAATGTACTTCGGTAAACTACAGCAAAATTTAGTTAATTTATAGTGAAATTCTTTTGCCATGGCAAACTCATGTTCAACAATTATTAGTGCAAGAAATGTACTTCGGTAAACTACAGCAAAATTTAGTTAATTTATAGTGAAATTCTTTTGCCATGGCAAACTCATGTTAGTCTCTTAAAATCAGCTGAACATCAGTTACAACACATGAATAAGCAATTACATGCACAAAATTGTTAGTTTACCCCATGCTTTGTGGAAGTTTATATTATCAAATTGACACCAGTTTGTATTTGCATTTTGTCCCTCAACTGAGCATGGTTAATGGGTGTTTCTTTAAATGCATCTACACATAAACTATTCATCAACAACACCTGTGTCATTATATAAATTATTGAAAGCTAGAGTTCATGTTTCTTTTATGTAACCATTTTGCCTCCTAATAAACTTTCACCATACAAATTATTTCCCTGTCGTGTCATTGTGTCTTTCACTTGCAGATATTTTATTAGATGCTATTTAACTTTAGTTCGTAACCAATTTATAAAATGCTGATTTTGAATGGCATTTCCCAGAGCTGACTGAGCATTCCATGGTTTTCCTTTGTATTGTCTTAGATAAGAAGCCCTCCTCTTGATACAGCGCACGAGCCTACCTTCCATGCACTTCCCCTCTAGCACACACACCGCACTATGATTAAAAAAGACATCCAACGTTTCCATGGTCACTTCTGAAACCTCCTATCTTGATCACTAAGTCCCTTTGTTTCCTCATTTATGAGTTCTGGTGTTATTGTGTTATTGTTCACTGCTGAATTTTGGGGAGCATGTGGAGCTGTTTTGCAACTATTGGTGTTATTCATACTATTGCTAGAGAACTGCAATTTTTGGTAGAGGTAGGCTGTAAACTTTGTCCAATGCCTTAGCTTTTCTTGCCAATTGTATCTATTGTGATTTATAACTAACTGTTGTTTACAAAGTATCATTTTCAAAATAAACAAGAATATTGGGAATTCCGACCGGTGATGTTTTAATATTTGTTTATTGGAGGCTAAGCACATTGATACAATATTTAACGTGGTTCGACAAACCGCCTACATCCATGGGAGAAGTCATTGCATTATGTAGGGAGAGTACAAGATTTACAATAATAGAGGAGGAGGAATCATCCCCTCTTTGACAACTCTCAACCTCACTTTATTTCTTTCTTTTTAGTGCTGCAATGGCAGCCCACTTTCTCCTACATTTCTCACATCTTTGGCTCTTTTCCTTCTCTCTTATTTTGCTCTCTCACATATGCCTCTATTTATAGGCATTCATGGAAGCTCTTCTTGCTTTGTTGTCAATATTGGTGGCCACCAACTCTAACTCATTCAATAATGGTGGCTGCCAATAGTCAATGGTTGGTGTCATCCATTTGTTGCAAATGAAATGGCAACCAACCTAACAAAAAATACAGGCTAAAATGTCATTCAAACATCTATTCAATTCTCCTTTTCAAGGGATCGAAATTATACATCAATTTTGTGTGTCGTGTCATCGGATCGAGTATACAGGAGAGACCACGACACCTTAAAGTTTTCGAAAGCTTTTCATACCCCTTTACTTTCTGAAGACTTTTATTTGATCCTTGTAAATGTTTTAACTTTCAGATATGTCCCTTCTCATTGCAAATGTGAGAGGTGTAGGTTTAGACATTCCTCTATTGTCGAGTGAGATTGTTCTAAAGAGTTGTTGTTTATGTATAGTTGTAAATACTAAATCCTCATCAATTTCTTATAGAAAATAATGCAAATATAATTTGACTTCGATCCACTATTCATGATCCACAATTTAACCTTAAATGTAAATCTCAATAAAACTAAAGATCATACAATATCAAAATGAAACCTCCTATCTTGATCACTTAGTCCCTTTGTTTCCTTATTTATCAGTTCTGGTGTTATTGTTCACTGCTGAATTTTGGGGAGCATGTGGAGCTGTTTTGCAACTATTGGTGTTGTTCGTACTATTGCTAGAGAACTGCAATTTTCGTTAGAGGTAGGCTGTAAACTTTGTCCACTGCCTTAGCTTTTCTTTCCAATTGTATCTATTGTGATTCATAACTAAGTGTTGTTTACAAGGTATCATTTTCAAAATAAACAAGAATACATGCTAAAACCTCATTCAAACATCCATGCAATTCTCTTTTATTTTCAAGGGATCGAAATTGTATATCAATTTTGTGTGTGGTGTCATCGGATCGAGTATATAAGAGAGAGTATATAAGAGAGACCACGGCACCTCAAAGTTTTCGAAAGCTTTTCATACCCCTTTACTTTCTTAAGACTTTTATTTGATCTTTGTAAATGATTTAGCTTTTTATTTGATTCTTGTAAATGTTTTAACTTTCCTTTGTTGTCGAGTGAGATTGTTCTAAAGAGTTGCTGTGTATATTGTTGTAAATACTAAATCCTCGTCAATTTCTTATTACTTATAGAAAATAATGAAAGTATAATTTGAATTTGATCCACGATTCAACCTTAAATGTAAATCTCAATGAAACTAAAGATCATACAATATCAAAATGATATTATGATCTTCGATTTTGAGAGAATCATTACCCCATTCATTGATAAGTACAATAATAAATCTATCTATTTACTTTAAACAAATACCTTATTTTGTTAAAGACTCACAAATATATTGTTGTCTATCAGTACTGTTTTCCCTATGCTTTTCACTACAAGGGCACCTCTCCTTTTCTTGTCCATATTGACCACGCTGGAAGCACATCAGATGCAGCCCCTTAGGTTATTCGTCTAATACGTCGCGTAAGATAAATTTAGCCTGCTCGTCTACCCATAACTTTCACGACGATGATTGTTTGACGCCAAGGTGCCCTTGCACGTTTTTTTCCCCCCTCCATTGATGGCTTTATGACCGAGCAGTCTTCCTTTTCCTCATCTTCCTCGAACATTCAGTGCTCCAGTTGGCTATTTCCATTAATTGTTGTTCCAAAAAAGTAGAACACAACAATGAGTCTCCCTTGTTCATTTTGCCTTCCATCGATCATCGGCTCCTTTTTCTTATTTGATCTTGCTAATAATTCAGTTTCCTCCATTGTAATCCCTCATTGTTCGTTACACATAGCCTCTATCTATCAAAAAATTAACAAATATAAATCGAAACACTGATGAAAGTTTTTCATTAGTATACTTTGATAATATTTACTAAATGATTTTTTTTACTGCTAAATCCAATCCATTAGTAAACACTAATAGAAATATTTCTACAATACATACTAGGAGAATCATAGTAGATAAAAAAGAAATAAAAAAAGTCAAACAAGATGATGGCATATAAGTTTTACAAATAACATTACTGACATAATTAACCTGACAATAAAATTCATCCCTAAATATGCTAATAAAAAACTTTTATCGGTATATATTGATGACATTACAAAAGATATTATAGTATGATTCAAGAAGACAAATCATACGGTAGTGTGATATTTTTATTGACAGAATTGTCGATGGAGTTACTATTAGAATAATTATGTCTGTCAATCCGTCAATGATATTTAATTTTTGATCTAGTGCTGGACCTTTTATCCCCCTCCCCCATTTTCTCTTCTTCCTTATGCATTTTTATCTACAACAAATAACCACCCTCTCCCCCCAATTTCAACACAATCCAACCTTTCACGACAAATTTAGCCACCATAATATTAGATTTGTCAACATTCGTGTTCTGATTCAAATTTTATTGAGGATTCTCTACCTTAAATAAGTAAATCTACCTTTTTTTAACACAATTTTAAAATGTTCTCTCTCTTCTTTGTATATTTTATAGTCTATATATTTTGTTTGATGTTTACTTGTTTTATAATTTTTTCTCAAATAAATTTATTATATGGATTTATAATTTGTACATGCTAGGATTTGTTTTAAATTTTATAAAATTATATTTATTTTTAAAGTGATGAAACTTATATTGAATTATCAACTTAGGTGTTTTGTGATAAAATAAATAATGACTTATTTAATGGGTTCATTTTATATTTTATCAATTTTATTACTGAGTTGTAATTTCTGGTAAATGTGTATAAATTTAAATTTTTATATACAATTGAAATGAATTAAGAGAAGTATTAAAATAGATTGAATAACCTTGAGCTAACTAATAACGTTTTTCATTTTTTTTTTGTTGAAATTTGGTTATTTTCTTTATTTAATTTTGTTGTTAATATTTAATTAAATATGTAGGATTAATTTTAATTATTATATTGTATGCATTCCATTTAGAATAAATTCTTTTAAATTTAGGATTAACAATATTATCATGTAGAAAATGAGAGTTTTCTATGAAATTGAATTATTCAAAATTGTTGGTAGAAATTGAAGGCATTTACTGTTTATTTGCAAGATTAAAATTTATGTGTAACTTCTCGTACAAAAGAGGTGTTGCTGAATTTTTTTTAAAAAAATCAAAATTGTATATTTTTTCTTGTAAATTTATATAGATGCCTAAAGAAAAATAAATTACATGTCGTGAAGACAGGATCAA